CACCCTTCTTTTTTTTTGTACTTTGCTTTAGAAGTAATGTATAATAATTGGAATTTGAGCCGAGTTTTCCAAGACCTCAAGTTGTGTTAAATGAATATACACACACACTCTATTTCAAGATACACAGTAAAAATAATGCTCTAAAAATAATGTGTTTCATATGTGTGTGTGTATGTTACAAATTAGCTGTTATTTTAAATGTTTCACTATAAAAAGCCCCCACACAACATCAGAGAGGAGTCCAGCCCTAAATGGTATTAAACTCTAGGGGTATGTTTAAATAATTGCTCAAGTTCCAGTTTTTATTCTGATGTAATTAAAGTATGTTTTACACGGTAATCAAAATTAAATAAAAATTATTAAGTGCTAATTTACATTTGATTAGTTTTCAGTAAAATAATACGGCATTTCTGCAGTTCACTGTGTAATACACATAATAAACAAAAAAAAAACCCCATTCTACTATAGAAAACTTACTACTGTAGGAGCTATATGGGAGAATGTCCACTGTACAAATTGTACAAAAAACCACTCCAAAACCATGGAACTGCTCTCATAGCATAGAAACACTATGCTCCTTTCCTTTGTCAGCTGATTGTGGCTTAATGTCTCACTCATGTAAATTATTACTTCACAAAAATATCTTCTTCCATGTCTCAGCCAACAAACTTATACATGGCATGGGTGTGGGATGAAGGGATTCAAGTTATTCACTAGGGAGCTGCAGAGGTTTTCAAGAAGTAACAGTGCTTTGTTCTCCACAGAAGAAAACAGGCAGCAGAGCACAACACAGGAGAGACATTTTAGAGCAGAAAATTCGGGTTTTAGGTAAATAAATTAAAAATAGGTAAATAAAAATTGTCCAGAGAACCCTGGGTTTATTTCAAGAAAAAATCAAAGCTGCAATGTTTTGGAAAAACATGCCACCCTCATTTCTCAGAAGTTTCTTGATGGGTTCATGTTCCCTTTCTCCACTTCTCATGACTCAGCAAGCCTAAGGAGTTCAGGTCCATGAAATGCGCAGGTCATGGGACAGACATGGAGATTTGTCTGAACTCCATCTCTGGCAGACACCTCTAAACTGTGAAAGCCTGTTCAGAACAAAAGCACTAGACTTAGGACAGCAAGAAAAAAATCTTTCTGAATTCAAAATATTTCAAGGTTTGGAGATTGGGTTTTTTTTTTAATTATTTCTGAGTTCTGAATGAAAGTCTATATATTTCATATTTCTCCTGAATGCTTGTTTTCTGCCACACAGTCATATTTTGATGGTTCTCTTTCCTAATTTACTTTTGCCTGTTCTACTTGCAATGAATTTTATGGGAGCCTTTGCAACACTAAGATGAACAGAAACAAAACTATGTAAAAATCTCTGGCACTTCAGCATCCAAACTAGCCTGGCACCAACTGCCTCATGACACCACACACTATCTTTTCCTCCTCCTGGTCTGGGATAGAAGTGATAGTAGAGCTGAAGTGGTAATTGAGTAACACCAGTAACAACCAAATTAATAAAATATAAATGGAGAATAAATTTCTCCCCAAAATCTCAGTGTGAACAATAGATTTCATAGAAATCATAGAAAGGCTTGCATTGATAGGTACCTTAAAGATCACTTTTTTCCAAGCACCCACTAGACCAGGCTATTTAGGGTCCCATCCAACCTGCTCTTGAGCACTTCTTCTAGTGTTCGAGATTTCATAAAAAAATACTGTGCTAAATTATTTCTCATCCATTGGTCTGGTTCTTACTGAAATCTGCAGCAATGAAAATAATTATATCAACTTACATCATGAATTGAATTATGGTCTAAATACTTTATGGCTTAATTATGTCACCTTGTGCCAGCTGCAACTTCAGAAAAGGCAGGCTGCTAGCTAACATAAGACAACTGACACCAAACAACTGTGCAATCTTTGCACATCACTTTAATTTGCAAGATATCTTTGAAATGTTGCCATTACCTCTTGTGTGCTGACAGGGTGTTTTATGGTTCCTTTTTCTTGTAAGGCCTGAATTTCCAAGATGAAAGTTAAGGTCTGTCCAGTCTCACTGTGAAGAGCCTTCTGCAGATGAGTGGTCAGTGGCTCTCTATAAGTGTAAGGTTACTTTTGGGTATGAAGGACAATGGTCTGAACTCATTCACAAAGGGACACTTTCTTCATGTAAAAATGGGAAAGACCATCTATAGCAGTGGATTGGGAACACTAGACATATTTCTGGAGGTTTTTTTCAGACGAGAGGCTTCTTGAAAAGCCTCATTTAGTTATCAGAACCTACTTAAGACACCACGGACCTTTTCTCATTTAAAGCCTATGGATCCTTTAACAGTATGATCAATAAACAATAATAATAATATCCAGTAGTAGCTATATAATTACCCCTTGGCTGCTAGATTTTCACCTGGCACAGAAGAACAAGTTAGGACCACAGCTGCTTTATCCACAGTACAAAATGTGTCTGACCAAGCACAGGCATTACTCCTAAGATAATGTGCAAAGGAAGTTTAAGACTGTACAGAACCATTTATTCTTTGCCTATAATGCATTGTTCAAGAGTTTGCAATGCTGAACATGCAGAAGAGAAATCTGAAGTCCTGAGAGCCATCACAACAGTATAAACCAGGCTGGAAATAGGGCTATGACACTTTCAGGACCTGGGCTAACCTCTGCTCTGCCCTGCTTGGTGCTGTGTCATGCCTTTTGCTGCCAAGTGCCTATTTCCTTACAGCACCACGAAGAATAAAGTATGGGATAAATGCTTGTGAAGGACATCTTTGGCAGAAAATCCCCCATGGCATATTACATGCAGCTTGAACAAATAAAGGGGGGAAAGGAAGAGAGGAAGGAAAGTACCCATTTTATCCCCCTACATTCTCCTAAGATTAGCCATTTCAATATAGGATCTTGTTTTGCAGGGCTTTGGATCAAAATCAAGGATTTTGTTTCTTCAGTTTTAAGAACTTTTCATCACTTTTTCCTTCTAGCTTGAAAATGCAGCCTTAAATATTTTACCAGGGAAAGCTTCAGTGTTTGAAAATTAATTTTACTCTGCCAGCATCTGCGTTTAAAATCAATGTCAATTCAGATTCAATTCTGACTCCCACAAAGGAATATTAATTTTCACCAGAAAACATCTTTGCTCTTTATGTACACCTATTACACAGGACTGAAGAAAGAGTGGGGTGATCTCCATTACTTGAGAGCATATCTTCTATTGTTTGTTCTTACTTCTCTGATTCCCTCTATAATCTGTAAGGAACAAAGAGAGAAAAATCTATCAGAAGATTCCTTTGGCCCTCAGGGTGGAAGTCACAGTTTTGGATTACTGAGCACTGAACACAGAATTTGAACTAATTAGCAGGGATGGGGAGAGGTAAATTAATATGATTATTGTGCAACAGAGAAGCATGTGCAGGACCACAGTGTGTGGGAGTCTGGAACACAGGATTTGTTCTCTTAGGTCAGGACAGCTCTGTGCTGAGCCGAGTATTCTCCTGCCAGCCAACTTCAACGTGTGCAGCATCTGGATAGTGTGGAAAACCACAACAACGAACCCACCCTATTGTGCAGCTCTGAAGAAGAGAGTGAGCTAAAGGTGGAACTCCCTCCTGATCTCTGAGTGAAGAATGCAGTTTAACTCCATTTCTATTTCACCAAGTATGGCTATAAAACCACTCAGCCCAAACCCCATCTTCACCCAAGATCCTTTTGACACCCTACTGCTCCTGCTTTTTCCATGGTCATTCAGTATGGGTTTATCTGGCATGAATTCTGCATTTTAAAACTGCTTACATCTCACAAATCTGGCATGCAGCCTTAGGTTTCTGATTCATGGTGAGCTCTGCTGTATTTGGATGTGACCACTGAAGACACTCTGGCTCTCAGCTGTCCTGTGCACCCATGAGCTGGGAATTATGGAAACCACCTTCTGGGAGAGCAGCACAAGTGGTGTCTGCCCATCATTAGTCACAGTCATTCTACTAAAAAAAAGTACCTTTTCTGCTGTTTTTCTGTATCAATTTGTCAACTGCCAGCAGTTCCATCCTGCTGTTCCTGCTGGAGCCTCACATCCTGCAACTGGATGTAGATGAGTATGGTCCTAACTTTGCAGAGCCACAACCAGCCTGGCTTCTGAGACAGCTGTATCAAAAATTGATATACTTCTAGGTACAAACATCTTGTCTGTGTGAGCTGCTTTTGGATGAAATTTGGTATGCTGAGGGTAGGCTTTAATTTAGTTCTTGCCATCTTGTTAACATAATACTTAACTTTCTGTATGGTTTGTGTAGCTGTATATACATGTCTATATATTAATGCTTTAGTGAGAAAAAATAGTACTGACACTCAAATTTTAGCCTCTAGGGCTTTTAAAATCTATGTAATTGATTATTTGGTGTCCAGAAATATTTCTTTTCTGTAGAAGGTGATTTATAACCTTAGCTTTAACACAAATCTTGGATGCAGTTCATGCTTCCAGTTGAGTGGCTGATACTCTTTAAACAAAAGACTGCAATGATGACAGCTACTGTATAATGGACTTCTGTGATGAATTTCCAGATGATTGATCATTTGTCCAAAAACTTTTGAACTTCTGGTATTTTTAAACATTTTCATGACAAAACTCTAAGTTAGCCTGAATATCCGTGAACAACAGATGACATGAGCTTAAGAATAACAAACAGTGAAATACAACCTGAAATAATTTTGCAGAAGTACTTGCACATTATTTTAACCAATTGAGCAATTCTAATATTCTGTCAGAAGTGAAAAATTAGTTGCCACTGAACTGACTGCTTCATGGGCCTGAACTCAGCCTACAGAGTCAATAGGATTTTTTTTCTTCCCTTGGCATCAATGGGCTTGGAAAAAGACCTTAAAAGGAAAAACCTTTCTGATTTCTATAGGACTTCCCTCTAAGGACATAATTGCTCACAAGGGCAAATCCTTACAAATCTTCAAATGGTCCAAAACACCACCAGCAATTTGGGACCCAGAGATACATCACTTCTGTTTATTAATTGTTTTCTGAGACAGCTCAGACATATTGAAAATTCCAGTCTGTGTGAAACATACATTTATTTCCAGTTTTAAAAACTGAACTCTTCATTCTTCAGTAAATGGTGGCAGGAGCCATTCCTTGCTTCAAAACCATTTTGGTCCCATTTCATTCCACAACTGCTGTCTTCTTCTTTCCTCTATTAAAAAAAATAGCACAAACATTTTTATAAAAACAAACTGATAATAAAACAATAATGGCATGATGAAGAAACTGGAAGAGTTTTAAATTTGCTGAGATCATCAGGAGTTAAATTCATCTTAATTAAAAGCTCACTTGGATAATTGCATCATATTCTTCCCTCAACCAATGCTTTTTCCCAAGATGTAGTGGAATTTTGGTTCTTCCTATACTACATGCAAAGTTGCAAGTTCCCTTTTTATTAAGAGCATTTTGCAGGTGTTGAGCAAGGATGCTAAAAATTTACTTGATATGCAAACATATTCTTTAAAAAAAAGAGATAAGTTTACCAAGTGCTGGAATCTAATCAAGTAAAACAGAAGTAAATGGAAATAACCAAAGTACAGATGCTATGTAACTTAGCCAGTAGTTCATACCCTTGTGAGTGATGCCTCTGAGGTCCATAGTCTAATTTATTCTTGGCATAATTCCATGGATAAATCTGCACTCTTGGGACTCCTCTGTGGGATGCATGTTCCAAGTCTCTATGTGTATTGAAAGCTGAATTGCAAATCCAGAAAAAACGCAGTGAGAACTGCAAGAATTTAATGAGATATATACACATATTAAGGGATGAATAATTTCAAAGGCTGTCATGTTCCTCCATAATATAATATATTCCTATTAAGCAGGCAGATGGTACATGGCCCTTGCAATTGTTGAGACTGTTATTGAAAGTATACTCATGACTCTTCCACTGCAAAATCTCCCCTGTACTTTTTTCCTCATCTGCTTCATCCTAGCTCTTCTATGCAAATAAACCAAGGTTTTGCACATTGTTTCAGTGCCCATTGATATGTTTTATCAATGTTATTTATAATATGTTTATTTTATGCTGGATATATATTAATCAAAAAGAGGTGACGTTCTATTGTGCCATGAAATTTCTATCGAGAGACTTAAAACAATATACTTTTTTTCTCTTTTATTTTTTTCCCATATCCTAGTGACTTCAATGGATGCCACAACATTTTTGAAGAAATAATAACAGATTTTCTTCAGTTGCTTTGGTGCGTGACTGCAGAGAACAAGTCACGCTTTTTGTCATCATTTGATGTGTGCTGCACAATTAGTGACATTCTGGTTTCCAGCTAGCAGTTAAAATGTTCTCAGTTCAACAAGTGATTATTTATTTCCCTTTTGGAAAGAATGCAGTGGCAAACACAACACAATATATTTTTTTTTATTTCTCATTTGTATTATTTATACCCAAAATAAAACAGATCCTAATTGAGAAATAAAGGCAGCAAGACAAAATTCCTGCTTTGCTGAACTCGCATCTAATATATCATCATGGTTTTGAACAGAGATGAATGCTGAAGACAAAAAAAGAATAATCTGTGTAGCTTTAGGGTCAGCTAGGCATTCCCGGGAATAATTTTCTGTGTTTTTCAGCAAGTACAGCACTTACCATATATGTTCATAATATTTACATACCATAATGTTCTTAGTTGTAAAAGCTCAGGGTCATATTGTCACACGCCTTGGAGGATTAGTGGGAAAGTTACTCACTTGTAGCTTGGTGCCTGCTTGTCTGCACATACATTGCAAAACAAAAGGAAATCCCCTTCAATTCAACTGATGCCAACAACTCTCCTTCCTAGCAGTAACAGAGAAGGTCGACTTTGGTGTGAGACTACTGACTTAGGATTTATTAACATTTTGGTGAGTTTCCCAAAATGAGTGCATTCATATTTCAAAAGAAATATTTCCAGAAGCACCTTGAAGATTTAGGAGCACAAATCCCACGAGTAAAGGATTTGTGAACCCAGAATGCCTGTTATATATTTCCTAAAAGCATGCTAGTAAGCTTTCTTCACTGCTAGCCTCTCCCCCTTCCTTTGCCTCAAGATGAGTCTCAGGTGCAGCAGGAGCACACTGTGTCATGTGCCTGCAGACCTGGTGGCCAGGCTAGAAGTTGTCCATGAGGCATCTGGATGGGCAGGAGGATATCAGGATGTGCAAGGCAAGGCTGGGAACTGCTCCACAACCTTTTCCTTCTTCAGCAGGTCTTTTTATTTCTGAGTTGCTCCAGAAAATTTCTTACAAATTCTGATTTGTACTTAAAAATACCTTGAAAAACACACCATTAGCTCTGCTCTCTGATAGGCTGAATAGGGTGAAGCAAAGACTTGAAGAATATAAGGATAAGGTCATATTATCATTGTTATAATCACTAATTTCTGCATTGTGTGTGTGTGGCTATGGCTTAGTCCACTACTGTCACACACCTTGGGTTTAGTTACTATTATCACACACATTAAAGTTTATAACCAGTCATCTGCATATCATGTAAGTGGTGAATCAGTACCTCTGTATCCATACAAGTGCTAGAACATTTTTTGGTTTACACAGTTGTTTGTTTCTGCCAGTTTGCAGCTGCTCTTACTTTTGTTTGAGTTTGACAAAAATCCCCAAGTATTTTCTGCCTTTCTTTTCCTCCTCTTCCCTTTCCTTCTGGTGGTGGTATTGCTTATCTGCATTTCTTTCTTGAACAGTTCCCTGGCAATCCCTATTGTGGTAAAAGATGAAAAGTATGGAGAAATCATCTTAGAAGAATTACTGGATCTTTTCTCTCTCCTGAAAAAGAGAATTAAAACAACTTTAACATCAATGAAATTGACTGTGATGCTGCCAAACAGAAATTATTGTTACAAGGCCTTTAGCTGTTAGCATAACAAAATAGATTTTGGATTACTGTTACCCAAAACAGCCTTTAATGGAAAAAAAGCCACACCCTGCTAATGTCTCTGAATTTAAGGGATGCAAAACAACAATGATAAGGGAGACCACACAATTCTGTACAGAGCCCTGTGTTCCAAAAGTTCAACAAATAAGGGCATTGCAGAGCAAATCCTGCTGGTAGTTCTCATAAGTAAAAGATGACTTCATTTATTATTTTACAGAATGACATTCTCTTATTCAAGTAATTAGTGCATATGTTGGAGGACTCAGCTCATTATACAGTCCTAAAAGCTTACATTTTTTGAATACTAATTCCAGATTGCATGATGATTGAAAGGGAACTAAGATGAACTGATTTTTAAACATCTCAAGTGATTAAGCTTCCCATGAAAACTGCATTTTGCAGACACTTTCAGGTCCCCAAAAGACATGTCCTTACAATGACCTTACAGCTATGCAATGGGCACTTAGGATGACATCATAAAGAGGCCACTACATTCCAGATTAATTTGCTATCTAGAAGCAAGTATTAATTTACTGTCATTAAAATAGAAGCAGAACAACCACATCTGTGTCAGTCAGGCCTTTAGAGGCCCTGTTAGTGTCTGCAGTGAAACTGTATGACAAGTAAAGGTCAGAGACACATGACCCCATGCATACATTTTATTTTGAGTTACTGTGCTGGTGCTGTGCTAGCACTTTGAACATTTTCTCATACTGTACCTGCAGTGCTCAAACTTTTTTCTGTTGCCTATAACTCTGCAACCACCTGTGAATAAGTTTGATAAATGGAAAGTCCCTCCAAGCTTCTTGGCATCTTCCTGGGTTTTATCCTTTTTCTATCAATTTTCATACATTCTTTCTTTGCATGGTTTGAGCTGAGAAGCCCTTTTTAATTAGGGTATAGAGATCTGATCACCACAGGTGCAAGGGAGGAATTTTTTCCTGGGGGGTATCGTTGTAGACTTAGCTAAGAGGGATAATACTTCAGTTGTTTTTGCCTTCCTTTCACAAATCAGGTGTTGGATTCACTGTGCAACACTTCATGGACCAATGGTCTGATCTGATAAGACAAGTCGTATGCTCCTACTTACACTACTTACACTGCATGGCTGCCATTAGACCTAAATAATTAAAATGTACCCTAAACTGAGGGGTACACAAGGAATTTTGAATACATAGTCCTAGCCTTGTTTTCTGGGGGTTTTGTTGTTTGGGTTTATTTCTATTTTTATGTTTTATTTTTTTAGCTAAAGACCTAATGAACAGAAAGAATGCCAGATTAGTATGAATCAGACGGGCTGGACACATGCAATGTCATGATGAAAGATAAACCCCCTTTCAGAGCTGGAGTATCTGATGAAATAAAATCCAATTTTCAGGCAGCTGTGAAGCTGACAGAAGAGCCTTTGTAACACCAGAACCACTACCTCCTGCATGGGACAACCTCAGAACATTCTGAATCGTCTTTGGGATGGATACACAGAGGCCAAAAGCTGATAAAGGGATGAGTCGGTCTCCTCAGAGGCTTGTAGGGGATTTCTCTGTCCTCTCTGTCCTCTCTGTTCTCTGTTCTCTTTTGTTTGACTGTGGTTTTAATTCTCAGGGGGAATCCTGGTGGAAGTAGAGACCTTGCAGTTGCTGTTGCAATAGATGTTAAAAAATCCCATCCAAATAACAACAAAAAACCCTAGCATCTTTTTATTTAAAGCCAAAAGTTTATAAGCTGCTTTACAGAAACATTCCAAAGGAGAAAACAAAGAGTGAAAAGAGACTGCTGATGAATGGAAGCTTGTAGCCTCAAAGTAAAGCCAGGCCAATAGCAGTTTATTTGGAATATTTGAAATCATCCTCTGTGTATGAATTTCGTCAGGCATAGACTGGAGTTTGTCCAGCTTCTGTTCTCTAAACAAATGTAGGCATGCAGTTGCACAGAATGAAAATTTCAGACCTAACCAGGAGAGATTCTGCCATACAGAACTCCAGTCAGATTTCCAGTGAGGGCCACCTGGGTGAGTCCCCTGGTCAGCTTTGGAGTTGTGTGCCTAAATCCCCTTTGCCCTCCTGGAATCCTGTGCCATTGTGTGCCCCAGTGGGGAACTCTGCAGCTTTGTGGCTGCAGCCCTGAGTCCACAGAGCTGGAGGCCATTTCTCATTCTTACACATGCTGGTATCTCATCCAGGAGCTGGCCCTGTTATTCCCATGACACTTTCTGTGTTTTACTTTTCCACTGCTTTAGGCCTACAATTGCTTTGCTAGATTGCTGTCAATGGCCTATTTACAATAAATTTGTAGATCAGAGGGATGTGTGGATGAGGCTGTTACTGCAAATAATGCTTGCAAAGATGAACTCCACACTCTCTGGCCATGAGAAAAGGCCACCCTCCACATTAAACTTACCAATCAAACCACCGTTTTTTACTAGTGAATAGGTATGAAAGGGCTGGATTGAAGATACCCTCACCTAAAGACTTCCTGCAGTATCATTTCCAGCACAGGCAAAAAGCAGGGAAAACATTTATAAATGGGTTAAGACTGGCGGAGTTGATGGTCACAGGGTAGTATAACACCTGTAGAATTTATAAAAACATGGTTGGTTCTCATAGACTATTTAGGATTCACGATATCAACCCTTAAAGTTTTTGCAGGATAGGTCTGCAAAGCTTTGCAGTGTCTGTCCATGTTTATTTGATGGCTACTCATAGTGCTTGTGGAGGAAGTACCCTGGATATTAATAATGAGGGAAGGGAATTCATTCTTGCCATTAAGTATAAAATGGAGGAACTGAAGGATCACTAAGAAGCTTCATTT